GATTATTGAAAAAAAGCCCAGCTTAATATTTTTGTATGTGTGTGTGTGAGGAATTTGGCCCTGAGCTAACATCTGTCGCCAATCCTCCTCTTTTTGCTGAGGAAGATTGGTCCTGGGCTAACATCCGTGCCCACCTTCCTCTATTTTATATGGGATGCTGCCACAGCATGGCTTGACAAGCAGTGCATCACTCTGTGCCCGGAATCCGACCCTGCAAACCTGGGAACGCTGAAGTGGAGCGTGCAAACTTAACTGCTGCGCCACCTGGCCAGCCTTAAACGTTTTGCTTATAAAATAATTTAACAACATTATAAATTTTAAAAAAATACTCCAAATCTTGGAGCCTAATATCAACTACTATTACCATCAGGTTGTATCTGAGTTTTTGTTTTGTAATAATAATCCATTTCCTTAAGCTAGAATCCTAAGAATGAGAATATTGGGTTAAAATATTAAATTACTTTTTTAAAGGAATAAGTTATATAATATTGAATGTTTTGTGTATGCATATACACACATATGTACCTACAGATTCACATCTCCATATATATACATGCATATACAGAGAGACAGTCACAGTCTAGTTGACTTATTTCCTCCCAGGGTCTAGGAGAGCCTGGGCTGTTCCTGGGGTGTTCGGTGTTTTTTGCCATCCATGACGCGGTGAACGCAGCGCGACAGGAGAGAGGCCTGTGCGGACCCTTGAAGCTCAGTAGTCCACTGACCCCGGAGAAGATTAGAATGGCCTGTGAAGATAAGTTCACAGAAATGGTACGTTCTGCTCATGAAATTCTAGGTTTTTGTTCCCTGTCCTTGTGGTCAGTTTCATTAACCCACCGTGGTGGCTTTCTGTGGAAGAAAAGGGCATTTGAGCAGGAGAAGAGCAGAGTGGCCCTTGGATTGCATTTGTCATCAGCCCGTCGCTGCCTGGGCCGCAGTCGGGCTCAGGTCTACAGCATTTGAAGAAAGAAAGTTATTCTTCATTCATCAGTTGTGTGTTCCTCCCTTGTTTTGATCCCTTCCCAGAACACCTTGGTCAGGAGCAGAAGTTCAGGAAGTGTGCTCTGAACCTAAGACCCCCAGGCCAAGAATATGGGCCACTCCACCAGTCTCTCTCCCTCCACCACAGACGGGCACTGGGAAGGTGTGCACAGTTCCTGGTTTGAACACGGAGTGAGAAGGGCTCTCTCTGGCCCGACCCCAATAGCAGGAGTCCCTCCTGTGACACCGCTGCCGAGAAACGTCTCAGCTGCCCTTGGTCATTTTCAGTGATGAGATTTTAACTGTGGAGGAAGTCATAACGATCGCAGTGACCCCTCCGACTATAAACAAATCGTTCCTTCTATTGGGGGGAGAGCCCTTGCTGCACCCCCTCCTACGCTGGCTTCCTGTGGAGCCCCTTAGCCTTTCCTAACCCCATGAGTCACCTCTTCACTCTGGAGAAACACAGAAACTGACTCCACTTTTCACTTGTCCCCCTTCAAGGGTGAGATGACCCTCTTAGCTGTCCCCCTCCGGTCCTCTCCTGGATCCCTCCACATTCTCAGGCTGTCCTTCCAAGACCTCCCATTGTCCCTGGTGCTCTCTGGGAACATTTTATCTTATTCTATATTTTGCTACTTTTCGCCTCTCACAAACATTTTCCAAGTTGCAAACATCCAAATTTGTTCTTTTATTCTAGATTCCAAGAGATAAACCTGGATCCTATGTTCCTTGGAATATACTCATATGAGTCAAATACAAATTTCTGAGAAAAAAGGGGTGACTTTTGCAACACAACAATCTGTCCGGTCTCTGCACTATGAGATGCTAGATCTGAAGGACAAATTTCACAGTTAAAAATCATTTCACAGAATATTCATTTTATATGATGCTGATTTTAAATGTTCCACTTAAATTTTGATAGATATGCTTAAGCAATTTAGAAATCATATTTTAAATGGCGTAAATACTAACTGGTTTCCTCTGGAATGATATTCTCCATTACTCTGTGCCTTAAATCCATCCAGCTGAATGGAATAGAAGAGGATGGCTTGTGCGTGATGTATACTTGGCTTGTATCCACCAACAGAAATTATAGTGTCTGCTGAAAGGCAATTTTCTCAATACTTGTATTAGTGGTGTGAAATGTAAACTTGTCATTTTCTCATTTGTCCCCATCTGCTATCACCCTCCTTTTCTTGTCAGAATGGATCCAGGCACTGGATCTAAAGAGTCTGTGAGAACAAAGAAAAAAATAAATTGTACTTCATCAAAACTAAAAGCCTTTTTTGTGTGTCTCAAAAGACACTACAAAAAATTGAAAAGACAGACGACAGAATGGGAGAAAATATTTGCAAACCATATATCTGATAAAGATTTAAATATGCAGAATATAAAAAAAATTCTTATAAGCCAACAATAAGAAAACAAATAACCCAATTTAAAAATGGGAAAAGAAATCGAATAGACATTTCTCCAAAGAAGGTATATAAATGGTAAGTAAGCACATAAAAAGATGCTCAAACTCACTATTCATTAAAAAAATGGGAATGAAAGCCACAATGAGACACCATTTCACACCCAGTAGGATGGCTAGAATCAAAATGAGAGACAAGAGTCATGCTGACAAGGATGTGGAGAATTTGGAATCCTTGTCCATTGCTGGGGAGAATGAAAATGGTGCAGATTCTGTGGAAAACAGGTTGTCAGGTCCTCAAAAGGTTAAACATAGAATCATCCTATGACCACTCCTAGGTGTATGCCCAAGAGACCTGAAAACATATGTTCACACAAAAGCTTGCACACAAATGCTCATAGCGGTGTTCAGAGTAGCCAAGAGTGGAAGCAACAGAACTGTATCGACTGATAACAAAATGTGCTGGACAAAATGTGGACTGTCCAAACAAGGGGCAATTATTCAGCCATACTAAGGATGGAACACTGTACATGCCACAGCATGACGCACCTTGAACATGTTACGCTACATGAAAGAAGCCAGACACAAAAGGCCACATGTGGTGTGAGTCCCTCTGTATGAAATGTCCAGAACAGGACGTTCATAGAGACAGAAAGCAGGTTAGTGGTTGCCAGGGGCTGAGGGGAGAGGGGACTAGAGAGGTGACTGCTGTTGAGTCCGGGGTTTCTTCTGGGGGTGGTGGAGATTTTCTGGAATTAGCTGGTAGTGAGGCTGTACAATTTTAGTAGAATATACTAAAAACCACTGAACTGTACACTTTGAAAGAATGAATTTTATGGTGTGCGAATTACATCTCAATTAGAAAAAAAAGATATGGGAGAGAAACGGAAAAGATTGGAAAGATTGTGAAGTTGTAAGAATCCTAAGAAATTTATCCTAATGACCTTCAGTCACAGGACACCTGAAAGGGGGCTACACAGCAAGACATCACCCCTGGACCCTCCGTCTCCATTCCCGGCAGAGGGAAGCATCTCCTCTGAGGGGTAGAGGACTGGGACTGGTGTGTGATAACACTCCCAACTCGGAACCCTTGTTCCTGGGCCAGGGGAAGACTGCAGTGGCTCTTCAATGGGCTCTGACTAGAGACCAAGGTCATTCTCCTCATGGTACCAGTGGTTACGTTAAAGCCCTGTAAAGAGCAGGCTTTCTCGTTGATACCACAGACAACTACGGAGCACCCACCATGCGCCAGGCGTGGTCCTGGTCCATGAGATCGCAGTAAACAACCCAGCAAAGATCCCTGTCCTTGTGGAGATGATACTGTGTTCAGGGGAGACAGACAGGAAATAAGCAACACGAGACGTGAGTAAATGGTGGGGAATGGTCGATGCTGGTGGGTGCCGAGGGAACGAGTGACAGCAGAGCAGGGCGAGGCCGGGAGCAGGCTGCAGGGGACAGGTCAGGGACGAGGGTGGTGAGGGCCTGAGCCGAGCAGGCACCCGGAGGAAGAGGCTGCTGGGGCGAGAGCAGAGGCCCCGCGGGAGTGCCTGGCCTCCCTGGGGGACAGCAGTGGGGCCTGCGTGCCTGGAGCAGGGCTGGGGACGGGGCAGTCACCCCGAACCTCGAGACCCTTGTGAGGACGGAGGCGTTTAATCCAAGTGAAATGCAGAGCCAGGAAGCAGCAGGAGCTGACACCGTCTAAAGGCTCACCCCGGTGCTGTGCTGCCATAGGTCATCGTAGGAGGGCACGTTCCTAGGATTCTCGCAACTTCTCCAGCTTTCCCAAGGTTTCCGATTCTTCTGCTTTCTCCCCCTCCTTGGTGGCGCCTCCTTTTTGTCCCTTTTATGCCGACTCCTCCTCCTCCAGCCCAGGTCTGTGAATGTTGGAATTCCCGAGGGAGCCAAGTGTCCCTCGTCGTCTCGCCCCCTCTCCCTGGCGGGTGACCTTCACCCCGTGGCTGGGGATGACTGCTGAATCTCTACCCGCACTTGGGCCTCTCTCCCTCGAGATCCAGCTCCGAAAACCCAGCGCTTGCCTTTCATTGCCACTTGCTGTCTCAAAGGCACCT